CATTTTACACCAAAAATCTAAAGTAGACCCACGTTTTTGGCGCTATTTAATGCATACAAATAGTGTGGAACATTAAAAAGAAATTTACCTATTTTATGCATAAAAATTATGTAATGTGGACCCATTACATGCATATAGACTGAATAATGTGGACCATTGTATGTACCCATTTTATACCTAAAATCTAACAAAGTGGATCTATCTTCCACCTATTTTATTCATAAAATTTATTTATTGTAGACTTATCTTTTAAAATTTATACCCATTTCATGCGTATGAGCTGAATAATGTGGACCATTGTTAGGATTGGACCCATTTTATACCTAAAATCTACCTAATGTGGACCCATCTTTCACCTATTTTATTCATAAAATCTACCTAATATTCCGGACCCAACTTTTAAAATATGGAACTACTTTATGCGTGTAAACTGAATAATGTTGACCATTTTAAATATCGGGACCCATTTTATACCTAAAATCGAACTAATGTGAACCTGTCTTTTAAAAAGTGGGCCCATATATGTCATGCATATAAATAATGTGGGGCTTTTTAAAAACTGGGACCCATTTTACACCTAAACTCTAACGTGGACTTACAAAAATTTTTAAAAATAGACCAATTTAAAAACATTTACCCTTTATTATGCATAAAATATAACTAATGCAGACCCATACTGCCCTGTCATGAAAAAACCACTCAACTGTCAATTTTTTTTAAATGCACTTTTTCAGCATTTTGCACGTTTGGGGACATACCGGTAACACAACTTGTAAAGTATTTAGATTTTTGAAATTATAACGGAAAATATGAATTTTAAAAATTAAAATATCACTCCACTGCAAGTCTGTGTTACTTTTGTCAGCAAAGATGCACTGAACTGCAAATTTTATGAAAGACTTCACTTAACTGGCATTTAATACCTATTTTGTAATAGTTTATCATGAGAAACCCACTCAACTGCATAGTGCTGCATATAATTGTTTATCATTGAGAGAGACGATTGTCTAATGTATATAGCATTACTTTCACAATGTAATCTTTATCACTGGTGCACAATATTGGTATTAAGGAAACAATTATCTCGTACTTTTTTGGCATTAGTCATACTAGCAAAATATGGATATCGATCTTTTTTTTTTTCTGGGAGGGGACCATTATGGAACCAGCTCCCAATATGTATTAAGGAGGCAAATTCTTGACGTTTTTTAAGGACCACCTAAAAAAGCATCTTTTCTTATTTAATTTTTCTTTTTTTTATTTATTACATTTAGTGTCTAATATCGCTCTGATAGATTATTATAGGGCACTATTTATTACCTATGATATTATTACCTATATTATTATTAACTTATTAACTTTATTATTATCCTATTAGGGGCCTATATTATTATTTATTTATTTATTTATTTATTATTATTATTATTATTATTATTATATTTATTGCATACAGTTCAACATTGTTATGCTTGTAAAAGACAAATTAGAATGAATTTCTGAAAAAGGAAACTAGAAAACAATTTAAAAAATGATAAAAGACGACTGAACAGAGAATTCTTCGAAGATAAAAAAAAAAGAGCATTGTCCGAAAATAATGGCAGAAATACCCACAAATACAATTGCAAATCAATTGTTTTTAAATTCTCATTTCAAGTATAATCACATTTAAATCTAATTATCTGCCATTTTCAAAATATTTGAAGCCTAACAATCATAGGCCTAGATTAGACAAGTCTTTCCACACAAAATTCAATTTCGGCTAGGCCTGTGTTTTTCTTTTGTTCTTCTTTTGTCCTTCATTTTTTGTTCGTACAGGGAGTTGTAAGAGTGTATAAACTCCACCGGATCAAACACTACGCCGGAAGATCCGTCAAGTATAAATGAGGCCTTGTTCTCCATGGGTGATGAGAAGAATTGGCATGTATCAAGGGGGTGGTTTCATTACAGATTTTTAAAAATAAAGGGGAAAAAAACAACCTCCCTGCCTACCGACCGCGATCAACAACTATTTTTGACATGGCCAAATTTGTACTTTTCAATAACCGCTAGACCTTAAAGATATACAAATATATAAAAGTTGTAGCATATTAACATACAGTGTCTACTAATCTGTGTAGAAACTTCCTATTTTGATCTACAGTAATATCTTCAATATGCCACAAATAATAAGTATATCATTTCTACAAGAAATGTACAGTAATAGGTAAGGCCCTATAAACTAATCGCCTTTACTTCATTTATCCTACCAAAACATATATACCCTACCATCAACACAAATATGACTATTAAAATTAAGCATGTATAACGTTCACCACCACATTTATCCATGAGTTGTCTGGGAGAAATACGGTAACCTGAACGTTTGGGTCTATATCCAGTAAATTTTGTGTATTTCCGTCTGTAATTAGGCCAATCTTCTTTCAGTGGTCATGAATAATTGTGCACCCTCTAGTTGTTGTTGTTGTTGTTGTTGTTGTCGACATCGTCGTCGTCGTCGTCATCATCATCATCATCATCATCATCATCATCATCATCATCATCATCATCATCATCATCATCATCATTATTATTATTATTATTAATTATTGATTATTAATTATCATTATTGTTATTATTATTATTATTATTATTATTATTATTATTATTATTATTATTATTATTATTTAGTAGGACGGTGTTGTTACTAACAACGCCGTTCTACTAAATATATCAGTAGATCCGTCTTTGCTCTGCCTTGCCTATCGAATGTAGAGCACTGTAAACACATAACATCATCTTATATTGTGTATTATATTGATGTGTACATTCATATCAATATCATTTAATAATTTTTAACTGCATTAAAGTCACTATATATTACAATGTTTTGGTAGCTATACATCATTTGTTTTACCAAATCACCCATTACAAAAAATATCATCATCAACGTCCTAGTAACACAATCGGTATTCAATATAAAGCACTGTATACACAAGACATTGGCCTTCGATGTATAATTTTTATGTCTCGTCTGTAAAAATCTGCACTAAAATGTTTTTTTTTTAAAGTAGTCTTTAATTGAAGGGAAATGTTCAGTTGTTTTTGCCTTTGGTGTTTTAGAATCCCCATAATTAAAGACCGACACCAAATGGAGTATTTAGATTTTTCTATTTGAGAGGAAATGAATAAATAATACATTTAATGTTTTAGAATGGATGTTGAGTTACTACATGCTGTCATTTATTTTTAAAATATGACTAACATCACCAACAACATTATCGTCATCCATACACAAAACACACACACAGCTTTGTTATGGTTAAGTCGATATAACAAAATGTATCGTTGAGCTGAGTTTAATCACGTGTGCTCTTTCACGTGCAGTCAATCTCTTTTCAAAAATAGTTGTATATAATAATGAGTGCATAGTTCAAAAAAGAGTTGGTGACGCGATCTAGTTCTGGCGCGAAATGTCCGCCATTTAAAATGGCCGATATTCCGTGTAAAAAAATGGTCATTTCATGTACCATCTTTGCTCAGTGGTTGGTAAACTTTTTAAGAGATTTATTAAGTACCACCTTGGATACTACCCCGATATATACGGGCTTATATATCCGTGCCAACACGGTTTCACGGAGAGGAGATCCACTAATACAATACTTAGCTACGTTACGCATCACTGGCCAAGTATCCTGATAAACGCCGTCCCTCAAGTATTGATAACATCCTTTTTGGATTTTTCCAAAGCGTTTGATAAAACTTAATGTAAATAAATTCATGGTCATGGAACGTAAGTAGTTCATCTAGGCTTAAAGAAAATGTGCCTGCATATTTCTTGGAAGATATTGCATTACCCAGAGTATCATCCATAAAATATCTTGGCGTAATCATAAGTATTAGATTGGAATGGAGCGAACAGGTTCAGCATGCTACATCAAAGTCTCCAAAAATACATGAAAAGCTTCATATAATTTAAATTGAAAATTGTTTGCAATATATTTTTATTATTTTTATCCCAAAATATTTTTATAATAATTTTAACATAAACATTTTACAATTCATATCTACTAACGGCCGCCATCCCGAGAACTTAGTTTTTAATTTTGCCTTTGTTAAGACAAATGTGTAAATTTTTCGTTTGTTTTGGTGCAATTTTCCAGCTCATCTTCGTAATGAACTACTTTGTAACTGATTAGTTTGTTGCCCATTATAATATAAATTATTAACTTTTTTACATTTTTATTTCTTTTGTATAAACATTTTGTAGCCTATTTTAGCAATTTAATTATGTTACCTCATGTGCATTTATAGCTTTTAACTCTTTGAATACTTTTATGTAATTGTTCCAAATTTTTAAGCAGTTTTGTATTTTAGTTTGTCGTTGGGCTATGAGGAGAGCCCAGATGGCAAGTCTTCTTGCATTTGGGCAAGCCTGCCGGCCACATAGACCCTTTTGTTTTTATATTTGGCGAAATAAATGATAAGCGTTTAACCACACAGCTGTTTAAAGAACAATGAGAAATTAGCCGTCAAAGGTTATGATTTCAGGCATTTCTCATGCAGAAACTATCTTTAAATCCTTAAAAAGTATTATTTTAACATTGAAAATGGGGAAAATAACAGCATAGAATGAGGTGTAGATATATAAAGGTTAGTTTACTACAATAAAATAGATTTATAAAAATTTGACATTCCAGCATGTTTTAGCCATTTTCTCTGAAGCACGATTTGCGACAAGTGACTGGTTTGGCTTGTCTTTGCCACATATTGTATAATGATCTTGGACATGAGACCGATTTAAAAATACTACATTGATCTGTAGATGCGCGTTGTATTATCTGACGTCATATCCATAGAGTTTCAGCAGACTGAGAGGCTCATGCGGCGCCTATTTTTTCAGATGAATAAGACCCGCTGATCAGACAAGACGTGATACTACTCGAACAGGGGTTTATTTCTTTATTTCTGAATCAAACTGGTAAGGGAAACGTCCTGACACACTATACAACTAGGATATCACATTACTAACCTAGGAAATGGTTTCTTTATTACTACATGCTTTGGTATTATGTTGCCTATCCTGCTTTATTATCAGATCTACTTTAGGTAAGTAATTTTCCTTTTTTTTTATTCTCATAAATGTTTGTACGCGGCAGGTTTAGACGCATGCTGCAAAAATTCTGGGCTGCCGACGGGAGGACAATATAGAGTGGTGCAATTTTCGTTAAGGTCAATTTTATATGGAGTAATACCACTACTGCTTTTTTTTTTTTTAAATCTCGTTTCAAAACTACATCAGATCTCGCGCGTGTGCATCAACAAGTGCATTGCAAGGGCCATTTTTGCAAGTCGAATAATATCAGAGCATATTGAATCTATAATTACCAGTATTTCAGATATTGTTTGTGTTGTCCTTTTGCGAAAAACAACCGATTATACCAACAGTTTAAAATTTAGAGAAATGTCCGATTTAGAGGAAATAAGTTTAAAAGACCCGATAGTAGCTTCAAACGAGTTTAACGTTAACTTTAACCAGCAACAACTGAGAGGTCGGCTGCTGATTAGAGATCCGAAAAAGAAGCATTAAATCAAAGGAGCATGGCGTTACCTCTCTTGATCACTCACAGAGAAAAATTAACAACAAAACTTCATTTAAGTAAACGAGACTGGTTGTTACCGTATTTAACAGTAACTAAAAACGAACTTCCTTTATTATTATTATTATTATTATTATTGTATACTTATATAGCGCATATCAAACTTCTCTATGCGCTGAACATTATTACCCCGGATCACTGGATCAAGCACATATGGAACACACACTCAGGCCCCATAGGGGAATTCCATAATGTTGCAGCTGTATTCAGCGCAGGCTTGTTTGAACCTACCAGGTACCCACTTTTACTCCTGGGTGGAGAGAGACAACCGTAGATAAAGTGCCTTGCCCAAGCGACTTGCACAGCGAGAGTTTTGAACCCCCGACCTCGAGGTTGGGAGTCCAAACCACAACAATAGCAAATTAAACTAGACTAAAGCGTTGTCTACACTATCAAATTTCATCAAAAAATCTTCACATAAAATATGATGGAAAAAGAATTGAATACTTTCAACTTTTTTTTTTATACAATTTGATAATATGTGATATGACGTCCTCGTACCCATATATGGGCAAATCACATTTTTTTGTCACATAATATTTGATAGTGTAGACAAAGTTTACTATATCTGTCTGTAAAACAGAATAATACCGGTATGGCTTTTTCTCATTGTCATAATGAGAAGTGTTGTTGAAATTGCACAAAAAAAGTCATTAAAAACTATAAAATATAAAACACACGAAAAACAGAAATATTAAATACTACTAAACAAAATTATGAAGTAAAAAAAATACTATGAAAACCAGGGAAATTTCACTGTTCCCTGATGAAAACCAACTTCACGACTAACGCAACATTAGTGAGACTCGAACTATAACTGCAATGGTAACAGCGAGGTACTGGAAACTTATAACTATTGCGCGCTATATGATCCGACTATGCGTAACTCAGTGCCTGTTTAGTTCATCTAATTCAGAGTAATATCATGGTAATTCAGTGATTGAGAACGAACATTGTCCATGCATTTCACGGTAATGTTGTGTGTAACATAACTGCAGCTGTTTTGAAACAACGCTTTGAATAACTGCACTTGCATTTATATAGTTTAATCACCATTCCAAAAAAATATTCTAAAATGGTCCTCATATCAACACCCTACTTCGGATCGTCATCGAAATTAAAACATCTTTATTAAAACATTACAAAATACTCTTAGAAAATGTTCTTTAGATCCATAAATACGTTTTTAGAGATATTTAGTTCACCCGAATCTGGATCGTCACTAAAATTCAGTATTTTTTACATGTAACATGACCTTTCCAGAAAGTATCAGTCAGGTCAGTTGATCCGTTTTTGAGTTATCTTATCTGGACATATTCATTTAAATTGTCCTAATACCCACAACCTACATCGAATAATCTTTTAATCATTTTATTATTGGACCATGACAAACCATAGGTCAATGAGATCCATTATGAGTTTTCGAGATATTTTGGTCTGGGACGTTAGCACTTTGAATAACCCTCATATTCACAGCTAAATCTTGACCAACATTTAATTATTTCTTCTTTGTAACATGGCTAGACTTTCTAAAAAATATCATTCAAATCAGTAGATCAGACTTTGATATATCTGGCCCGGAACATTTGCTTATGTATGATCCTCATTTCCACACCCAACTCCGGATCGGCACCAACGTTTAATCGTTAATTCATTTTGCAATGAAAATTTTTTCTGGAAAGTCTCATTTAGATCCACTGATAACTTATTTAAGATCTTTGGGTCTGGGCCGTTTGCACTTTAAATGGCCCTCAAATTCACACCCTATTCTTGTAGTTTGGTTAAACTTTCCAAAGTGTAATAGTTTCTTCATTGGACAAGAAATAACTATTCTGGAAAGTTTTTTCAATTGAATTCAACTCATTTTTTCAATTGAATTCAATTCAAAAGACATTTATTTTCGTTCATAAATAAAACAACAACAATGAAAGAGAGAGCACAAAGTACAATGTATATAAAAACAAATTTAAAGATAAAATAAGGGCCAAGTACAGAATTTTTTTAAATTAAAATTAAAATGTATGGACGAAGGCATATTCCCTAAAAGATTGAGACCATGTGCCGGGTATGCCTGTAACAAAGAAAAGATACAGAAAATGCCTGTAACAAAGAAAAGATACAGAAAATAATATAGATCCAATGATAACGTATTTAAGATATTTCTGTTGTTGAAGGTTTGCACTTTAAATGGCCCTCAAATTTATGCCCTACTTTGTATATTCATCACAATTTAGTCACTTCTTTACTGGACGATGAAAAACTATTATTCAAAGTTTCATTTAGATCCATTTATCAGGGACGGCGCCAGGAATTAACCGAAGAGGGGTCCAGGCTCCCCGACAAGGGGTCCACGCCCCTCGCCCGTCGGGTAAACCTAGCCCTTCCCCCACCCAGTCTGGGAAAAATTATATCTGTCGGTGATTTTTTTTTAATTAAAAGATAATAAAATGTGTTGATTATGGGATTATTTATTTAAAAGTGATAATTACGGCGCCCGAGATTTGATTTTTCCCCGACGAACTTGCTGGAAATTCCCCGAAAGGGGGGTCCAAAAGTCACCGACGTGGGGTCCCCCAACCCCTTCTATCGCCGCCCCTGCAATTTATAAGTTTTTTTGAAAATATTTAGGTCTGGGACGTTAGAATTATAATTGACCCTGAAATTCACACTCAAATTTGGATCATCAACAACATTTAATAATTTATTCTTTGTTAAGCTTTTACGAAAATTTCATTCAGATCAGGTTTTTAAAATATCTGCTCTGGGGTGTTTTCCTTTGACACATCCACATCATACTCTGGATCGTCACCAAAATCTATTCATTTCTCCATTGGACCACAAGTTTCATTTAGATTCATTGCTATGTTTATTGAGATATATAGGTCTGGTACGTTAGAATTTTTTTACAAATTACTGTGCTCCTCTAGTTTTAACTAAAAAACAGATTAAATCTGATTGAAATCTTATCCTCCAAGTTCACTCAACATTTCATTTGTTTGTCTTCCTGGTATGGTAAGATAGTCAGACAGCGTTTTTACTTGGACACATATGGGTTCTGTTCTGGCGAGCACTCAACTACGACAGCTTCAAAGTGCTGGAGAACGGGAAATGGTTTATTTGGATATTTTATAATTTCATTCCCTTTCTTTTTTTCATTTTGTGTAAAGCGCTTATAGAAGCACTGCCTACTTTCTATTTGTTTGTACTATAATTAGTATTTTTGTTTTTCGTGTTTTTTTTTACTTTATACCTTTTAAAGACTTGCAATTGCAAGTTGCAATTTTAAATTTCCTTCTCATTATAGCAAAGAGATATGCATGAACAATTTTTACTTCAATCACTGAATCGCTTTGAACTAAAAATGAACTGACTTACGCAGGGTGGGCTCATATAGCGCGCAGTGGTTAAGTCTCTATTTCACTTTCGGTAATACCAGTACAGCTATAGTTCGAGTCTTGCTAACGTCGAGTTATATTCCCTGATTATTTTTGCTTGATTTTTAGCTCTGATGAGGATCTCTAGAAACACTCGGCTGATTGATTAAAATATCTTTTTTGTATGGGTGACTGTTGGGGCCAATACACTCTACTGTCTCTATTATGAATGCGTTTCTTTTCTCAGCATTTATTTGTCCAATATAAATTTAAAATACATCAGAAAATTGTCTTTTGTACAATACACATATTTTTTTAAAGAAAAAAAAATATGGAACATCAAGACAACACAAAAACAACAATACGGGGAAAAACCTATACATATATCAATTAAATAATGGACATTTACAATGATTTTTTATACAAAATTCATAACAATATAAAAAAAAACATCTGTACATATTAAATATCAATAAGAACGGACGTTAAAAAACTTATATACAATATTTATATTAATTTAATTATAATTATCATTATTAAAAGAAGTATATATTATAATTTAAAATTAAAAAGTCTAAAACAGCAAAATATGAACTAACATTGCAATGAAAGAAAAAAAGGAATAAAAGAAAAAGACTTGAAGACTTCAGAATTGAATAAAATAAGAAACGGTAACCTAAGAGACCTGATTATTAAAAAAAAATAATAGATTTCGGAAAAACGATCTATTATATCGGCTAGTTCGGGTGTAATGTGACCTAATGCGAGTAATGAGGGAAGGAAATTCTTGAAATAAGGGATGGGTAGGTTGGGATAGAATACGTGTGACCATGTTTAAAACAGCATTTTTATATCACATAAATTTGAAAATGCCATCTCACTCGCTCTATGTCTAATTTTTTTCAAGTAGACCTTTGTTTTTAGTGCTCAGACTTCCACCCCAGAGGATCAAATAAAAATAAATCATACTGGATATCATCGAAGTATAATACTTTTCAAGAATGTTGGTGTCAATTTTAAATTTACTTAATTCACGCATCATATGTAGGTGTTTTGCCCTTTATTGTATAGCTTA